TAGGAGATAGTTGGTCATTGCTGGAGGGGACGAGGTGCACTATCCTTGTGGCCGTGCTAGGCTCGAAGAGGGGTTCCATGCAGTCAGTGTGGAGCGGACTACGGTCCAGCTACCGTCTTGTGTGCGATTGATTCCCCAAATACATCGTGTTTGTGTTTGCCTGTGAATGAGTGTGGGCCGGCTCTGTTGATGAAACGTGGCTCCCATCCACATGCCTCCCGGTCTTATTCCTTCCGGTTTACACTGGATATGGGGTGTGTGGATGGAACTGTGAGTGGTGCAGCGCAAGCCACCCACGGTCCCTCTGTGGACGCAGGCGTCCTGTGGCTGGCCACAGTGACAGGCAAATTCGAAACCGGATGCCGCCAACATGTGGCTTGTGCTTGTAAGTGTGCCGCTGCATTTTTCAGTGTTTGTTAGCGTCGGCAATGTGAGGGTAGACGATTGATGTCCGTGGATTAGATAGCATTTTTCGGATATCCACGGGCAGTGACTTTAGTTTGTAGCGAGTCACATCCGCCACGTCGCAATGTTGATAAGCAAACATTTGTGGCTTGTTATCTTGAGAACGCTTGCCAGGCGAAAACCAACCACCTCCTGGAACGCTGCCGCCGAACTATTTACTGGAACGAGTTAAACCCGAACCACCGAGCTGGCACCACGAGCAAGTTGTTTGGCTAGCCAACCAGTCTAGTCGCGATGGAGTACAGACAACAATTAAAAATGACGATCTCTTGATTTTCATTCACTTCGTGCGGCACCCACTTATCAAGCGTTTTCGACATCCCATCTCCGTAAATTTTGAAAACTGTCGTGCGATTCTGCTAACTCAGAGGTAAGATCTCGAACAGTTTTGCTTGTATTCACTACAACTCAAGCCCTTAATTCATCATTATTTACCTCCGGTGGCCGTCCAGAACGTTCTTCATCCAAAAACTTCTCGTAACCTATCGGAATTTTAAAAGCACCATTGTGCGGTATGGTCATTGTGCAGTTCCAGGATCAAATGCACTGTTGATGTCACGGGCTGTTTCCACCGCACTTCGATTGTTTAAGTTAAAACGAGAAAATTGGACGAATTCGTCTCTGTTTCAAGTTGCAAAGTGTAAAACATGTTTTTGGACTAAACTATCACTACTGGTAGATCGAGCGCAAAGCACGCTTTCAAATGATGTACACGGTCAAAGCAGCTTATTATAGTGTTGCCCAAAATGTTGATGTTAAAATTAAACTATCAAACACCGCAATTGTGAACCACCTTTCGCTAGCACCACTCAACGCACAACTTCTGATTATGGCATGAAGGCTGTGTTGATTATTTGCTAACTTTTACACTACTGCATGGTATGGCTTTACTGTTTCATTATTCTGCAGATACCCACCAGTCTTCAATCGTTTCGACTACACACGACACAGCATACTCCGTTTTGGGCTTACAGTTCAAACTCACTGATACAATTCCTATTAGGCTCTAATTTCACGTTTCCATTTGTCTTATTCCATCCACACTTTTACGACATCAGCACATCTCGTTGACTTGATTGGTTTGAACCACCGGCCAATTGGAATTGTGATAATTGGCGGCCTTGGAAGCCATGTGCCTCTGTTATCAATACTGTGCTCTTGGGTTCAGTCTTTATTTCATTGTTCGAGCATATCGATACTGATCCCTCGAACTTAACCTAGATCTGTGAGTAAAGTTACTCGTGGCGCTTCACAGAGTACATTTTAGGTTACGGAAAGAGCAGGCACCTTATGCCTACTCTGTTCATTGGAGCTCACCTTGTCAGGCGACATTCTGGCACCGAACTGAGGCAGGTCGAGTGGCCGAAGCTCGGAGCACCGAGCCTTGTAAAAGGGAGCCAACGCGCAACTTCACCTAAAATATTAATGAAAGCTAGACACATACTTGAATCATAAAACTTACAGACTATCTGTCTAAATCATGAAGTGAGCTCAAACGCTACCCTACCAAATGATTCTCATAATGTTATCGACATTTTTTCTATTTGATTACCTATCTGACAAATTTATTTTTCACTGCCTTGTTACGGTATCAACATATGGTCCGAATTTTTATTTCTGCCTTTTTTCGTCTGTTTACCATAGAATCGAGAATACGTGGCTCATGCCGGAGCCCGATTCCCCATTAAGTGGACGGCCCCCGAAGCAGCAAACTACTCGCGTTTCACTAGTAAATCGGATGTTTGGTCATTTGGCATCCTGCTGACCGAAATCGTCACTTACGGTCGCTCTCCGTATCCCGGAATGCACAATGCGGAGGTGCTACGGCAAGTGGAAGCTGGTTATCGTATGTCCAGGCCGGCAGATTGCCCTCCCGAGTTGTACGACTTGATGCTGGAATGTTGGGCTGCTGATGAAAATAAACGGCCTCATTTTGTCGACATCCAACGACGCTTGGATGAATTTTGCGAACACGACCGATCTTCGTATCGGAGCATGGCAGACAGTGAGCAGTTCGCAACCTCCCGCACCACCGTTATCCGTCCGACCGGCCCTGCTTCGAACGGAAGGCCTACTTCACCCAAAGCCTTTCCCGGGAGTATTCAAATCCCAGTCTCGCCTTAATCCCACAAGCGAACGCGTGTTATCTCACTTTCCGTGTGCCACTGTGGCTGATATGCAGGTTACTCCGTCGAAATGATAACTCTTTGACTGCATGTCTTCCTATACCCGCGCCACGACGATTGCTCTATTCAGCCACAATAATTTCTCCAGTCTCATGCCACTTCTCTAATTCGTCCGACAATTGACGGGGGTCTTCCGATCCTGCTGTATATGCATCACATTCTCCATACTTTGCTCTTTCTACGTTTGTCGGATTTCAACCTGTTGCACATTCTCCCTTCCCAATTCCCTATTGTCATTGCACACCACCCGGTGTTTTGTGCACGCTGGCCACTTGAATTTGTCCAACTATCCTACATTGACGACCAATCGAGTTCTTCTTGTGTCTAGCCTTGCACTCTCCGCTTTGTTTCTCTCTCAACTCCCATTATTATCGTTCCCGTTGCCTTAATTTCTGATCATGGTCATGCCTGGAGTCGCTTCCCCTTTTTTAAACTTCATATCTCCTACAAAGATGAATGAGTAAGCTCCATCAGTGAGTCCGTCTTGCGGTTACACCTGGCACTTTGCTTACCGAACATGTAATGATACTTCCCCTCGTGCTCCTTTCACTGCAAGTTGGATGGGGTGGATTTCGGACCGCGTTCAGGTGCTTGCCAGAATGCTGTATCGGCACCTTCCTTATCCACCACCACTGTCCAATTATACTCCTCACGCGAAATCTCGGCCGCTCAGGTGGTGTCTTATTCCTCTTGATCCTCTTTACCGGTCTGCACTAAATCGATAGACGTACTTGTCGTTTCCCCTGCAAAAATAGTATCTGGTGACTAATTACTGTCGGACACCCTCCGCTTTCGCTAACCTCACTGGGCAATCAGCCATAATATACATTTTGGATCGTGCCTCGGCCTAACTCATCAAACGCTCACTGATGCACTCCCACCATCTCAGTTCAACTCTTCACTACAATCCTATAGTCGTAACATGCCTGAAAATAAACCTCTCGGTTATTCTATTTCGTGACGAATTTAGGTATCTATCGTCCCTGTCGCTATCCGAATCATTCCTTGTTTTCGCCACTCGGGTATAGTCGCGGGGATTCATGTGGGTTACACTTTTAAGCTCCACATGGTTGGCGGCATCCGGTTTCGGATTTGCCTGTCAGTGTGGCCTCCACGGAGATAGCCACAGTACACCTGCGCCTACACAGGGACCATGGGTGGCTTGCGCTGCACCACCCACAGCTCTATCCACACACCTTACATCTAGTGTAAACCCAATGGAACAAGATCGGGAGGCATGTGGATGGGAGCCAAGTCACATCAACGGAGCTGGCCCACACTCCTTCAAAATGCACAGCAGCAGCATTCCTGTCTATCTATATAGAGAATCATGCGTACCAGACTTACACAAGGCGGTGGCTGGGCCGTGGTCCGCTCCACACTGGATGGAACCACTCTTTGAGCCTAGCGCGGCACGAGGATCGTGCAGTCCGTCCCCCCAACAACGATTCACAGTCTCCTGGAGACAATAATCGAGCTGGAGGGTGTTAGACAGGTAGGCACCTTGTCAACATTCATATCAAGCGCAGCCACACCGGTGATATCAAACAACCAGCATAGAATTTAAGGGAAAGTAAACACGTAAAATTGACACAGAATATGCAGCAGAATAACAGAATTGGACGAGCCACATAAACAGGAATGACTTTTATCCAGATTAAAAAGACCTAGTTTAAGTGTAAGTTGGTTTAGCCCAACTTCGGTGAAGATGCATCATGAATGCGACATCAGCCTCAGCATGACACTCCACGTAACTTCCCTTTAACGGTCACACATTCCGATTAACAGCGAACCTGTGTGTGCACTAGATGTTACACAGTTCGGAGCATTGTTCGCCTACACATCCGACGTGTATCAATGATCGTTTATCCTCAACCTTGGGCTATCTCGCCACTTGGCTTCAACAGAAATCGCCCTCTCCTTACAACCGATTCGTCTGTTGCCACATCGGTACATCCGTTTTCTGGTGACGTAATATCAGGCCGCACACATTTGAAACTCACTGGACGCACCATCCCATACGTTATTTTATTTACGGATCATACACACTCCACCAGTGGATTACTGCTGGTTGTACCCACGGACGCCCGCAGCTTTTTGCTTGACCGCGCTGGATTATACTTTTTCTTTGGGAATACTTGGTTATACATGTTTTCTTTGTGTGAATTGTGTCCCAATACTTTGCTTTTGGTGTATATTTTATCTATACGAATTTGGTGGTTATTCTCCGGCTGTTTTCGGAGATCTCATTGATTGGCCCAACTGCCGTCGGTGTCAGCCACCTTGGATTTGTTCTACAGCAATCTAACCGGTGTCTGCCAGATCATCAGCTTGACGGGCAGCGTTTGGATTTAGCTTACCAGTGTAGACGTTGCAAGAAAGGACTTTCTCAGATCTGATAGTCACAATGACACGTACTGCTTGCCCACGGAAAGGCAAGCCTAAAGCTTCCGAAATGAACGTTAGTTGTGGCGTAGACAGGTGTGTAAAACTTGTGCGGTTTGGAATAGAATGCAGAAACTGCCGAAAATAATTCCATTCTCAATGTGTTCGCCTTAGTCTCAGCCAGATATAAAAAATTTAATAGTACGACCGACTATCTCTAGTTCTGCACTGGGTGTACGTCTCTTCCACTCTTCAGATGTATCACTGTGTTGGCGCGGAAGTGCGATAGGATGACGAAGATTGTTGAGCAGGCAGTAGCCGAGAAAGTTGTCCCACATGAACCAGACACAGTGCATCGAACTCGATGCTCAACATCAAGATCCAATTCAGAACAGTGTAAGAATGAAGATCCAGAGTTAGCCACCCCGACACTAACGGCTGCTTATAAAGATGCGTTCGCCATACTGAACACTGTTAAGGGGCTGACAACGTACGCGTCCGCTGTTGCTATCCATATGACGGAGGCACCTCCCATCGTAACCCCGCCCGCTGCCAAACGAGTTACTACTACCAATTCCACCACAGGGCTCAAGACTCCATCAGCTGCCCAACCGAAGAAAGCAGACACTGCTCCCTCCAAAAGGGAGAACATGAAACACTACCATAATTCTCTAACTGTTACATGCTCTAATGTGACTGAATCCGGGGCGAACTCCATAAAAGATAAGATACTAGATGAAAAAATCAGGGGGATTCCCTGTGTCAACTAGTAGGGGTCTAAGCTAAGCCAGTCAGTATGATGCGTCTCGTCCGTCACACAGACTCCGTACACTACAGTGAACCGCGGTTACTCCAGCTAACATTTCAGTCAGGTAATGCTGCAGAGGCCGTTCGCTTGTCAGCCACTCGTCTCCGTACCACCAAATTCACTGTTCGAATATTGCTAGATGTTCCTTGGAGCGAACGCCAGAAACGCAAACAAAATCCGGAGGACTTCCGTAAACAACAAGACGCAAAATCTATCCTTGTTCACGCTAGAGGCCAAGGCGCATGACTGGGATAAATTACGTTTTATTCGTGAAGTGCTCACACTCGAAAATGTTATCACTAATTCGACATCAAGGCTACCGCTATCACCAAACTACAGTTGGTGTGATCTCCGAGTGGTGAAAGTTTCATCGCACTCCGAACTGATGTCAGAACATTCGATCAAATGTGGTCCAAAAAGCGTAAAACGCTGCATCCCGAAATGCGTATAAGGGCAATGGGCACCGGGCCACAGATAGATAACACTGAGCAAGCAATTTACCAATACAAATTTGTCAACGTATGCCTCAGAACGAAGATACTGCCAGAACACGCTGGCAGCCGAAGGTGGACAGGATGGTCACCCTCTTGTTGGCGCCGAGAGCTCCATATAACAACCTGAACTGGCCCTAGGGCCTGCGTCATCGGTCCTGCATAATACAACCGGCAGCCGTACTAGAAAATGCATGGCCTTAAGGGATTCAGCCTGGTGCGTTTACAAAAGCCTGTCTAAGTAACCTGACCTGAGGTGTTTACACAACTCAACGAAACCACTGCGTCAAGTTGATCCGCGAAGACAAACTCCAGCACATAGAGAACTTAGCGTCGAAGTTCAGTACAAATCCCAGGTTGCTGTATAGACGCCTCAACAAGCTCCACAGTGCAGCGCGGGATCTCCGTTTTACGTGCAACAGATGGTCTTGCGCAAACCGCACAAGCTGCGTCCAACATGCTTCGCCATCACTTCATCCGTACTTTCTGGAGTGAATCATCATTTTTCATCCTTTTGACACAGCTCCCATCGCCACCAGGGTTAAACCACGTAACGTTCACGGCAGCCAGTATGACGAAACGCTAATGTCATTGGGCGTGCACAGCTCACCTAACGTCGACGACATCAAACCAAAGGCATTGAAGATAGCAGCCATGAACCATGCCGAACCATTAGCTCGGTTCTTTCAACGTTGTCTCGACGAAACGCAGGCTAACACAATGTGGAAACATGGATTAGTCACTCCTATTTACAAAAGAGTTAATCGTTCGGAGCCCTCGAATTATTGTCCAATCGCTCTCCTCTCAGTTTCATCTAAAGTAATGGAACGTATAATTGCAGAGGCGGTCATGGGATATCTTGAGAGCAACAACATCCTAGTGTCACAGCAACACGGATTCCGCCGAAATCGATCCTGCACTACAAACTTGCTGCTAGCCCGAACAAGCTGGACAGAGTCAGCCGATGCCAGAGTGGGAGTCGACGTTGTCTACTGTACTTCTCGGAAGCGTTCGATCGTTTGGGCCACCGAATTCTCCTTCACAAGATTTAAAGCTATGGAATCAGTGACTGTTTACTGGGTTGGATATGCAATTTGCTCATTCAACTTCAGCTGAATGTGAGTCCGCAGCTCCATTTCCGACCCAATTGACATCCAGTGTGGCGTGCCCCAAGCATCGGTACTGGGGCCACGTATATTTTTGACATTCATTAACGATGTTGCCAGTGTACTGTAGGCGAATTTCGTACTATTTGCTGATGGTGTCAAAATTTGGCACAATATCAGGACATCATATGATCCCATGACATTGCAGAGCGATCTTGACAGGGCTTATATTGGTCATCCGATAAGCGGCTCTAGTTCGACGTGGCATACGCCATCAGATTATCTACGAATATCAACTTGGGGACCAGCAGTTACAACGTGCTTCCCAAGAAAACGATATCGGCGTGATCGTGCAGTACGATCTTAGTTGCTCGAGACAGGCTGAAAAGGCATCAAAAAGAGCCAATCAACATCTTGGACTCTTACGAAAGGCGTTCGGCAATTTTAAGCCACGGTGTGCTTTATTCGCTCGCGCAAGGCCGTACTGGAAGAAATCACGAGATGACCAACCTACCACATGGCGACAAAACGTCAAGGAACTGATGTCCAGGTTATCTGTTGTTAAGTCTTCCGGGCTGCGAAGTCCAAAATGAAGGATATCGCTAGTTGGAGACTCGTGAGGACACGGCGCGTAATCGCGGGCAAGGGAAGACATGCATGAGCCTTCGCATTGATTCTAATGGTCAGCATCGCAATTTATAAACTGACAAAAATGCCAAAACGGCGTGTGGAAAACGCGAAAAATTCTCTGTGTATATTCATTTGTTAGCCGTTGTGTTTAGTATAAACATGAAGTTCATGGTTTCCAGATGGTTCGATGTCTAATACCGTTTCGGAAGTACACATACTAAAAATTGGAGAGATAAAGAGAATATTAACATGGCCCCTGCATAATGATGATATGTAAAATCGTGAAGTGTTCTATGTTTTGATGGACTGAAAAGATAACAAAAAGAGCCAGACACGGAAGGCTTTCGAAAATTTCCAGCCAACAAGCTTTCCACAAATGCTGAACGCCTACTTAAGGCCCCACGTGGAATATGCGATCCAGAGCCTGGTGTCCCTGGCGCAAACGAGACATCAATGCACTTGAAGCTCCACAACGTATAGCAAATAAACTCGTTAGAGGATTGTTTCATCTCTCCTA